TGTTTACGGGGAGTGCAGCATGTGTGTTCATTGAGATCATGCAAGAATGAAGCTATAATCACGTTGTCTTTAGCACAAGGCAGCAGATTGACAGCAGTTTTCATAATCAATATCTTGAACCAGGACTCGCTAACATGTTTGTTCCATAATTGGAACTGTTAAAGCAGCCCGAGCAGCACTCCTGTCCTACCTTGACCTCTCTATCACACAGCTGCAGTGCATTCAAATGGGCATCTTATATAGTTGTTAACAAGGTCAGTACTGCTGCAAGAAAAATGTGCCTGCCTTGGAAATGGCAATGTAAATAAAGACTTAAAGCACCTGTTCTTTAAAGGCCATGGTTTGTCATTTGTGTTCATTTTTATGCCCTTGACTCCTCCAGTGTCCAACCAGACAGTATTAATATGATGCAGTTGTTCACATGAGACTTCTATTAAGAATATAGCATTTATGGCAGTGCTGTATGTCAGTAGTAAAGATGTAAAATAGTGTATGATCTTGTTATCCAACTATCAGTTACTGTACCTGAGAGATTGCAGCAGAGGGAAAGGCAGCATCATCGCCTCTGGCTTTGTCTTGGGCAGATATAGCAGAGCGGAACCATTCTACTAGCTAAAATTACACAGATTTGAATTGTCAGGGAGACTGAGGTGGAAAAGTGACAGCCATGCACATTGTAACTCCTCAGGGCAGAACAGTTGGCTGCTGTCTGTCACTGCGGAGATTTTGACACTCTCCTCTATTGGCCCATGTTATTTTCATGAGTTTTGTTTTAAAATAGACCAGGTCTATTGAACCAGTGTTTTTCATAATGTTTTACAGGAAACTGTAGTTATGTTAAAAGACTAGTTCACCGATATTCAAACAATATACTGTGCATTTTGTTACATACCCTTTAGATGTGTAACTATATCCATGCAGTCAGTTTTAGTTTTGTTTGTTCAGGTTTTAAGATGTGTGTTACTGAGATTTCCGCATTTTGTGGCACTTATAGTATTGGAAATATATATTTAAACAATTCAACATAACATTGACAAAATAATGATCAGCAACTATTTTTAACAACCAATTAATCATTCAAGTCATTTTTAAGCAAATATTTAAAAAAGATTCCCAGTTATAGCTTCCCAATTGTCAGTATTTTACTGCTTTCTTGGTTTATGTCATTGTAACTTTGGGTTTTGGACTGTTGGTTGAACAAAACAAGACATTTGCAGATGTTACCTTGGACTCTGGAAAGATGTGATGGTTCACCATTTTCTGATATTATTAAGACCAAGCAGTTAATTAATAAATTAAATTGAGATAAATTGAGACAATAGATGGCACATCAACAATAAATATAACAGTAAGCTGCAGACATAAACTATTCAGTGCTTTGGGCAGCACAAACAAAATTCCGTTCACTCCTGTTGGGTTGGTGAAAGAAATCTCAGACACACATATCTCAAAACTTTTGTGAATAAAACCAAAACTATCTACATGAATAGAGTGAGGATGGTAAGAAAATATATTAAACATTTTTTGCTATGTGGCTGAACTGACATTTTAACCCTTTTAAATGCTGAATTATTATGGGACAGAATGCGTCATAGTCAAACAAGCTTACAGTGCTCTAAATTAAAATTTAGGAAGCATGTCGGTGGTTCAGATCAGGCAAACCTACTGAGCGAAGCCAAAACGTCTCTGGTGAAGCTTTCCAAAAGTTTGTCAGTTCACTTTCTGTAAAATTGCCTGACTGGAAAGTGTTTAATGATGAGAGCCAATCACTGAGAAAAGTTAGCCTTCAACTGCTCTTATATCGAAGATGTTTTTGCAACAAGAGCAATAACTTTAAATGTAACTTCTCATCCAAACTCAATATTCCATCACAGCTCACTTTAAGCATCTTTAATCATTTGTGTATATAAATAGGTCCACTTTAATCCTGCATGCGTTTCATAGGAGACTAGTTCAGGTCTTTGACCACCAATCCACACATTTCCAGCCCCGGCTTCACCTTTCCCAGCAGAGAATGATGCCTCTGTTTTCTTTCAAGCCTAATCATGAGCCAACAGCCACTACACACCCCTCCCTAGCTTTGTGTTTATGTTTGCGCGCATGTGTGTGTATGTGTGTACGTGCTGGCTTGTGACAGCTCTGCTATGTGATTGAAAAGGGACAGGGTGTGATGGCCTGGTCCTGACTGGCTTTGATGGACACTCTAATGGGAGGCTTGGATGAGAAGTTAATTGAATGGGCCACTGCTGAACACGAAGAAGAAGAGCGGGCTGCTCTTCTTCTGTGGGAGGACTCTAATAGCTTGGCCAAGCTTACTGCACAACCACTCAAAGGAGAGAGCCCCTATGATAACAGCACATAGACTGCACTGTATGGTTTATATGACTCCCTTTTAAATTGCTTTTTAAATCACATAAAGCAGTGTATATGGAGGTAAATTATCTATTGGTAAATGGTTTGTTTCCGTCAGTGCCCTTGATGCAGCTTTAACTCAAGTCAGAATGCAGTGAATAAGCTTTTTGTTGTCATTTCTTAGATGTGAAATGGCCACATATGCTGGAAGATTTGAAGATCTTGAGACGTTTTTCTGTGTTTTAATTTCACCCCCAACTGAGGCGGAAACCTGAAATGAGAAAACGTGTGTGTGTGTGTGTGTGTGTGTGTGTGTGTGCGTGTTTGTGTACACTTTAGCCTGTGTGTGTTTGTGGGTCTGTGTACATTATTGGGTGAGGGGATGGTGCAGGAAATTATAGCAAAATTGGATTTTGGAGAATTATTTCTCTGTAAATTATACACATCACTAAATCCACTGTAAATACACCTCAAGACACAGTTTTTAATTGACTTAGAGTAGACACACGAGCCAATGTTGTAGCTATGTGTGATGATAGGTAATACTAAGCTCCTAAAATATTCATAGATTCTGAGAAAAAAAAGAGCAAAGGTTCACACTGGCTCATTTAAGAATTACTGTAATAAATTGTCAAGTGCTGTGCTCCCTAAGTTTATAGTAAACAGCCAGAGCAGATCAACCTTCACATACACAGCAAGTACAGCTGATAATTTAAACCGATGTTTTGAAGCCTGAGTTGAAGATTAAGCCGAACACAACAAAGCACATCAGAAATGCACACTTCTGTCCAGTGGCATCAAAAGCAGCAGCTGGGCTCCCTGCGACAAATATAGGAGAGCCTTTTGGTAAACAGATGAATAAGCGGATTTAAGCTGCAGGACGGCTGTGAAAGATTGCTCTCTCAGGGAAACAAACTCTTTTTGTCACATGCAGCACAGAGCTGCCCAGTGTGTTTCCGTAGTCCTGAGTCGACAGAGAGCGATGGACTGTCCCTTCCTCTCTTATCGGAGCTGCTGCAGCCCCACAATGTCTGGCTGCAGGCCTACTGAGACCTTCTCTCTTTTTCTCTCTGGGTCACACGCACATGCATACTTTGTTTCATGCACACTGCGCTGGAATTTTGCATAGTTTTACAGGGAGTCTTATTATCATCAGGAACTGCATTCAATTATGGGCATAATATACGTTTTTACCTGTTATTTTTTCAGCCATACTAGCAGCATTGCTCGATCGGTCTGTCAAACACTTTGGTCCCGACTGAAATATCTTTATAAATTTTGGCTGGGTTTCCATGAAATCTTGTGCAGACATTAATAGTCCCCAGACGATGGAGCCTACTGATTTTGGTGATCCCTTCATTTTTACTCCTGCTTCACCAGCAGTTGACATTTCTGGTTCAGAGTGAAATGTCTCAACAACAACTGTTCGATGGGTTACGCAATGTGGCGGAAAAAATAATTGTCGTTGTGTTGACTGTTTATTTTATGCCACGTTGTCAGGCACGTTGACAAGTTCCCAGATCAAATTGCTCGTTATGTCCAAAACACCCCCCAAAGATATTGCATTTAAAGTCATAAAGAGAAGCAAATCCACATATTTGAGATGTTTATAAATAACTTAAATTGTTGTTTGTTAATCAAAACAGTAATCGATTAATTATCTACTTACGTATCTACTACTTGAAAGGGTTGCAGATTTTACAGCATAGTCAAATGTCTCAGCTGTATCATTTGTCTATATTCATATGAAAAGTGTGCATTCTTCTGTAACAGACCTTCTACCTTATGTGTGAATTATAAATCATTATGACATATTGTGCCTCTGTTGCTGATAAGGCTTTCCCGAACTGGACTAAAATTCAACCCGTGAACAACATCTAATCTATTACATCTTTTTTGTCCTCTTGCTTGCCAAATGTGTCCACCAGCTCCTGTCCATTAATAACCTCCTCAGTTTGCTGTGTCCTCTCCTTAGTTTCCTGTTTCTCTGTGCTTGCCTCTCTCCCCCGAGGGTAGAGAAGTATTTCACAGCGGATGGAAAACACAGCACTGAGGAGCATGGCTCAAGCATGTGTTGCTGATATTTTATTAAGTGCTGTTTCTCACTTGCCCTCTTCCCTCGGTGGAGTGTCACTCAGCATTTATTTGATTTTCTTAAACACCTGCGGTCTCAGCTGAGGGGGAGCTGTGAGCCTTGATGTGTTGATTTGAGCTTATATTTTATCACGTGCTGCATAATCACGCCCTCTCTCTTTAATCCCAAATGTTTAACACTATTTCCTTCATTTCCTGTTGCTTGTAGATTTACATTTTTCGGTTTGGTCTTTCTTGTGTCTTTTTCTTCCTGTTCCCTTTATCTTGTTTTCTTTTCTCCCTCAGTCTTGCGGCGACTTCATCTCTCTTCTGATTTCATATTTTCCTTCAGTACTGTTTCCTCTCTCGGGTTCCTCATTCTTGTTCTACATACTCACAATTATCTCAATATTTATTTATATACCGTGCAACTACCTCCTGCTGCAACCTGTGCATATCCATATCAATCATATCTGTATATAAAAGGGTTTCTATTCTATTTTTATTTAATTTGTTGTGTCTTATGCTTATCTTATTTTAATTCCCCAAACTCTCTCTCTCTCTCTATCCCTCAGTGTTGTTGCGTGAGGAGGTGGCCCAGCTTCAAGAGGAGGTCCACCTGCTGAGGCAAATGAAGGACATGTTGAGTAAGGACCTGGAGGAGACCCAGGGAGGCTGCTCAGCCAATTTGCTCTCCGCCACCGAGCTCCGTGTGCAGCTGGGTGACAAGGAGCAGGAGCTGGACCGTGCCAAGGAGGCCTTACAAGGTCAGGAGCCAACACAAGCGTCTTGTCGTCTCACCCAATCGCTTCTTTCCAACAGCTGCCTCGAATATACATCAAATACAGCTGTCCAAGTGGGAAGTTTCACCCTTCCTAGGTGCATCAAGCAAGAATATGTTTTAAATCCACGTTCTCAATCTGTTTGTTAGTTTTTATTTCTGTGCCATGTGAAATACTTCCGACATGGAACTGCAAAGATGTAATAAGACCTCTTCTGGTAACACAAATACAGTGCAAAACCAGTGCATATAACAAATATATGCACTGCTACAAGCCTAAAGTTTATTTTGACTTCCAAGCGACTGTAAATATAACTACGTCCGTTAAGTCTGCTTCCTTGAAATGGCCGACTTCCACTGCTCGCAACTTCCTCCCTGACCCAGAGCTAACAATATCAGAATCATTATCCTAATTGGACGAACATATGTTGATTTAGTTCATCAGAATGTTCTTTGATTTTTATACAACAAACAAAAATTAATAATTTAATGAACATAAACTCAACAAATTGAACTAATTTAAAACTGACATATTTCAATTCTACAAATCAGACACATGCCCCTGTTGATTTTCTGATTGTATGTGAAGAGCCAATTTCAGGTTTTACCTTTACCCGAGACACTGTTGCGTGGTTCCCAGTAAAAAGCACAAAAGAAAAGAAAATGAAGATCACTTTCAGATCTGTTACAATACATTACAAATCTGCTAACGTTTTTTCAAACTGACATACCACTTTAAACACTGAGTAGTAAAATAGCAGTGGCCTATGTACACAGAAAGATCATTGCTTCATCATTTCATGAAAAAGATGATATTGTTGGGAAATGTCTTAAAAATCATTTTTAATTGCAATTTTGTCTTGTATGTGCCAAAGATGTGAAATGTGTGCACACTAATGGCAACAGTGTACGACTTCCAGAGAAAACCTTATCTTTTATGTTTAGATCTCAATTTTGTGAGGCGAACAAAAGATACTGCTTGTGTTTAGTCATTATTCAGTCTCAGAAATGGGTGTAGCCCCTGATGAGCAGCCAAGCAGACTCCAGGTTCACTTCATTTTAATTAACATCCATCAATCATAGCATGATAGCTTAACTCTGAAATATTAATGTGGTATTGATGTAGACTGGAATGTGGTGCTGATTATGTAGTATTGTATTGTTTTAATTTCAATTTTTGAGTTACATGGTTCTGTCCTCTGCTCTGAGAGAACTGCAAGCTTGTAAAGTGTGTTGTATAACTGCTGCAAAACAAGTTTCAATGTTGAGTGTAAAATACGAAGACGCTGCACTGACAGGAGGAATGCTTCCTGAGTGATGCATGTGTGCAGTTATGAAAAGCACAGGTTCCAGTCTTTCCTCTCTGTTGAGCACAGACCCTCAGGAGAGCATTGTTATTATTATTTTTTTTTTTTTGCTTGCAAAGAGCCCCACCAGTTGCATCATGGCTGATGAGATGCCTCTGTAAGAGAATGAAGTTGAAAGAAATCAGATCTAAATGGTCTTCTCATGGATGAGCCAACAAAGTGTCCACATGGCAGCCGAAACAGTTCCATGAATGAATGATTAGGTGCCACTGTGACACTTATCTTTTGAGATGATTACATCATTTTCACTGTATAAAAAAAAAAAAAAAATACAAGAAGAAGAAGACAGAAAATCACTAGCTGCAGCTCCTCCTTAACAGAAGACACAGTGTCACCTTGTGGCTTGCTGTTGCAATTGCAAAGCTTTGTTTATAATTTAGAGGCAGCCAAATCTCATGTGTATGTGTGTGAATGCGTTTGTCTGTGTTGCAGCTATGAAAGCTGACCGTAAACGTCTAAAAGTGGAGAAGGCAGACTTGGTGAGTCAGATGCAGCAGCTGTACACAACACTGGAGAGCAGAGAAGAGCAGCTGCGAGAATTCATACGCAACTACGACCAACACCGAAAGGTAACACCAACCCAGATGATCGATCAGTAATAGCTTATTGCAGATATATCTTTATTGGTGAGTATGTTGACCAATAAGACATGTTTGGCCGTTGCAACAGTTTGTAACTGCCATCATTAAAATCATATGTCTCACAGAAGCATCATATATCCACCCTTTAAAAAGTTTTGAAATAGATTGCACACAGAATGTAGCTGTGAAATGCTTCTTGACTCGAATGTGGATGTCCATCGATCATTCAAAGTGAGCTTGGCTGCGATTAACCATGTCTTTTCTTTGTGTGTGTTCTTCAGGAGAGTGAGGATGCAGTAAAAGCCTTGGCAAAGGAGAAGGATGTGCTGGAGAGGGAGAAGTGGGACCTGAGGAGGCAGACCAAAGAAGCCACAGAACAGGCTAACACCCTGCGCTCTCAGATGGACATGAAGGAGAACAGGGTCAAAGAACTGGAGGCCGAGCTCACCATGGTGAGTCACCCTGCACATAGACACACTGTTAACTTGGGCACAGTGGTGTCACCTTAGCATCATTATCTTGTATTTATTGCACAAATTCAAACAAGGTGTGGGTTTGCAATCCTGTCACTGTATTCATATCAGTTCAAACACATGCAGTAAGCTGCTCATCCCTTCCCTCTCTCAAAGCATTAAGTCTTTCTCTGGGCTCAGGAGCCTTTTTTCTGTGTTGCCGTATTGTCCCTCGGAGGTATAGTTGTCAGTCTGTGTGTCATTAATCTTTCTCCTCCCTCTGCAAGTCACAACCACCCACAGATCTTCACATCAAGCTGCATCGCAGATCAGATTTGTTGTTAAATCAGTGCCAGAGCTGCATTGCTGTCAAGTAACGAAGCTACAAAATATCATTCTCCCTTCTTTTTCTTTCTTTCTTTCTCTTCTCTTCTCTATTTAGTATCTTATTGTTTAACTGTTTCCTCTTAAACTAAATGGATGACCACTGAATGCCCTTTCAGAGGCTTCCAATAAAAAAATCCTGTGGAAAACACCGTTTTGGTACAGAAATGGACAGGTTTTTTTGTATTCTTTAAAGTGACAAGCTGCTGATATTTAATTATTTATTTTTTTGGTCATGAAAAGACCAAAACCAATAATATTTGTGGTTTGTAAACTGTTATCAGCAGCAAAATTAATATGTTTTTGGTACTCTAGTGCGTATTTACAGCAACACATATACTTATGCTAAATTTCCGTTTCTCGTGTGTTTCCCAGGCGAAGCAGTCTCTGGCCACCCTGACAAAAGACGTACCGAAGCGCCACTCATTGGCCATGCCCACAGAGCCCGTGGTGAACGGCAGTCAGGAATGGGTGATGCAGGCCGACCTGCCGCTCACTGCCGCCATTCGTCAGAGCCAACAGACCCTCTACCATGGACATACTACGGACAGACAGGGTAGGCTCTGTAACATGCTCTGCCTCTCAGTCCCTGTGCTGCTTGGTGTACCTTTTACAGATGCAACATACTAATAAAGGGTTTCCTGGAAGTCTTTTGTACTAACTGTGGGTATTTTTCAACGTGTGAAAATGTGTGTGTGTGTGTGTGGCCACATCCAGCTGTGGTCAGGATCAGCCCCTGCCACTCTCGCCAGCCCTCTGTCATCTCCGACGCCTCGGCTGCTGACGGGGACCGCTCGTCCACACCCAGCGACATCAACTCACCTCGTCACCGGACCCACTCCCTCTGCAATGTAAGAGCTGCCTGGCCCCCTCGACCAAGTAATCACACCTCCACACTTTTCTATAAGTACCTCCCTCTTCCTTTGTCTTCTGCTGAATGTGTCTGTCGACCTGCTGGGTGTCAGCCTGCTTGCTTGGTGTTGGTGATGTTATTTTGCATTTGACTTAAGCAATAGTTTGACATTCTGGGAGTTAGATGAAAATATCGATACCACTGTCATATCAAATATATATATATGAGTGCATTTAATGAGTACAAAAAAGTATACAAACTACAAGTTTGGGTGTTTGGTGTATAGGAGTTTATGTGCTGGACTGATTCTTTGCTGAAAGCAGTCAATTCCTGGAGTCTTGTTGTCACTGTGAGGGAGACGCCATGAAGTTACTGAGCCTGTCCAAGAAAGAGTCCAGACAATCAAAAGAGTCCAGCCCATAACCCCTGTAAAACCACATAATGTTTCTTTTACACTTTGGCTTTTATACAGATCAAACAAACAGGATGTAAAGAGTAAATCAGTGAGTTTTACATCAGGGGTTGCTGTTTGTATCAACCTTCTCATCTAAAGTCAATACGCATATTTCCCAAAATGTCAAACGTTTGCTTTAACTTGGCTGTGTGAGAGGACAAACCCAACTTCCTGTCTCCTCTGCCCCGTTCAGTCCATGGAGGACCTGGAGGACCAGAAGCGTAAGAAGAAGAAGGAGAAGATGACTCTGGGATCCCTGTCACGGGTGTTCGCTCGGGGCAAGCAGCGCAAGTCACTGGACCCTGGCCTCTTTGATGGTACAGCCACCCCTGATTATTACATAGAGGAGGATGCCGATTGGTGATGCTGAGTGTGAATGTTTGTGCGTGTGTGTGTGTGTGTGTGTGTGTGTGTGTTAAATTTGTGTGGATATCCACCTGGCTTTCATGAGTGTTTTGTGTGTGGGTTTGACTGGAGGGGGTTGGGGGGAAACTTTAAAAAAAAAAAAGCCTAAAAGAGACTGCAATTCCCATAAATGTACAGTATATTGCCCTTAAATTGTATGTTTGTAAATTAGATATATATTTATAGATATACATGTATGCATATGTATATATGTTTACATGCATATAAATATATACATGGGGTTATTATTGTGTAGACATGTTTATGCTGTATTATCTTACAAATGTCTTAATGTTTTTGTTTTTTTTATAACTGGAGACTTGAAGGACTGCTGTTCATATGTAAATAGGAGTTATTGTGAAACTAGTGTTTTTACTGTAAATGTCATTTGGCTTTTGGTACTATACTTTATCATGCTTTGCAACATTGACTTCTAAGTTTCTTCTTATTCTCAATCTTACTTGGCCCATTTCTTATTATGAAAGAGGAGATATATTATCAGATTGGCTTAATAGAAATTTGATCTCTTGGAATTTAATTGGTGAAATTCTGTTATATTAAATTGCTTGGTGATATGAAAAATAGTGCTTTGTTTGAGAGGTATTGCTGGTTACAGGATTGTCATCAAGTTCATGTTATAAATGCTGGCTCACAGTACTTGCAGATAAAACATATCACAATGTGGCCATCAGGGAGTTTTTTTCATGAAGGCCTACTCATCCATTTTATGCTAAAAATTATAGTCTCTGTCACTTTAATTACCAACTGGCCAACAAGGGTTTTAAAGTCAGTCTTCCTTAAAAAATGTAATTGCACAGAGCCTGAATACACAAACAAAAAATTAACAGTAGGCCTCATGCATATTCAGGCTCACTTATCGCTTGCTGTTGAAACCATGTGCAAGTGCCAAAGGTTAAACACTCATCTTTATAAAATCTGCGTATCATTCTGCCACTGTTAGCTCTAGCCTCGTAACATTGTTTATGTCTGACTCATTTCTTACTGAGAGCTATCTAACATGTGCCAATATGTGACGAAGGAATGTGCATTAAACACGTGCATGATCCCTCTGTGTTGCTTTGATTAGATGTCCATTCATTGCCAATCAAATTAATAATCTCCACAATCCTGTGTTGCTCCTGTGTTTCCCTTTACTTCCTGACTTATCTTTCCTTGCATTATGAATGCACGATCCCTTTTATTTTTATTGATTTTGCTGTTTTTGTTTTGCTTTCTGTAGAATCCCTCCTCATTTCCTGCAAAGGTGGCTCTAATAATTCTATGTCAAATGCTTTGTAATTAAGGAGATGTTCCGTAAAAGATTAAATCTATTGAAGTATTTTATTTAAAACAAAAAAAGACAAAGAGTTAACTTCAAATATTTATCTGCTGCAGCTGTTGCAGCCAGATGTTGAGGAGGTTTTAGCATTTTCAAAATGAATTATAATTGAAATGAAATCTTATTTTAAAAATAAAACTAGTAACTGAATACATCCTATGTGGCAGTTTTCTGTTCCATGAGTAATCTTGTTCTTGTGTCCCAGTCTAACGTGTCTCTCCCTCTCCTTCTGCCATTTCTAATGGCAACTCTCTCCTGCCAGTGAGTAACTCCTCATCTGTGATTACCAGCTGTCTGTTTCTGCACTCTGGGGATTATTCATATGACTCGGGTCCATTCGGAAAAAAATTCTAGTTTGTGTCATTTTTTTTGTGGAAACTCTTTTGAAAGAGATGGTGGACTTTGCATGCAGCATTTTTGTCAGCATGTAAGTACGAATCAGGTAAACACACATTCATTCATCCTGGATTCGTCGGTTCAGTATGAATCAGTGTTTTCCTGTTGTTGAGATAGGCGGTTAATGGGCAGGAGCATGATGTTTTATGAATAATCCCTGTGTCTCTAATACATTATCCTAATGGTCTTAAATCCCCTCATAACCATCAGGTAGTTACTGAAGTATTTTAACAACTTTACTAAACGTGGTACTGTAGTTTTAGCACTGACTGGACTACTACACTCTCATGAAAGAAATGAATGAGTTATATATTCTCTGAATTTCAACCCCATTTCAGGTTTAGATTTAGATTTAGAGAGTTTTGTTTGTTCTTTTTAAAGAAACCTAGTTATCTGTTTTATCACACAGTACAGCTCCAGTGAATTATTCTGGCTCCATCTAGTGGCCATGTAGTTGAATCCCAAAATATTTGATTGTCAATATTTGGCAAAAGAAAGGGTTGAAACTACTTTTCACCCAGTAAACTGATAACTGTAACTTGGTAATTATTATTAAACACAAGAAGAGGTCAGAAAGGCATATTTCTGTTGTTGATGTACAACACGATGCTGGTATTTTAGTGTAGCATCTAATTTGTTGGTACGTATCAATACACATTGTGGCGGTGTATTTTTGATGCAAATACCCTCTGATTTTTATGTTGATTTGTATCCAGATGAGTCATTTTTTTGATTTCCATATCCCTCTGACCCTGAACCCCCTCCTGCATACCACACCATAACTTCTCCTGAACAATCCAGACTCTGACAGCCTCACACAACAGAGCCTGTCTGATGGAGAGGAGCAGCTGGACCGCCTCCAGCAGGCAGAGCTCACTCGAAACACATGCATGTCGCTGTGGAGGGCAGGTGCAGTCCAGGCCTGGCTGGAGGTTGTCATGGGAATGCCCATGTACATCCGAGCCTGCTCTGAAAACGTCAAAAGTGGCAAGGTACACCTTTGGTACAATGTGGTTTGTTTGCTTTGTGCCTGAGAGTGGGGCATGATTTTAGCAGATGGGCACATTTTGATGCTGTTCTTGTTTGATAAAGTACTGTATTTCTGTTATGTAGGTGCTGCTAGGCCTGACAGATGAGGATTTAGAGCTCGGTCTGGGTATCAGTAACCCCATTCATCGCAGGAAACTAAGACTGGCCATTGAGGATTATAGGAGAGCTGAAGGGGACCAAGGGTGAGCAGCAGCTAACAAAACCCTGAAGAAGTTCAGTGTTTGTTGTTTGATAAAAAGTTAATACTTTTCAAAGTAAGTTTAATATTCCTGTTCAAGAGTGGAAGGTAACTACACACATTTTCTCAAGTATTGTAATTAAGTACAATATTGAGGTACTTAACTTGAGTATTTCCATTCCATGCTACTTTACTTCTACTCCTTTACAATCCAGAAGGAAATATCGTACTTTTTACACCACTACATGATGCTTACAAATTGCAAAAACCTACAAAGAGCTTAAAAACATGATGTATTGTTACATATTTAACCACCCAATAGTGTATAAAATATTTAAAATGATCTCCACCTGGCCCAGCTGCAACAGTAAAATGCTAGTTACACATTAATGCAGCATTAATAACAATCCAACAATATAATATATACTGTTATATCACTAATAGGTGTGCTTTTATACATTATGAGTACTTTTACTTTTGACACTGAAAGTACATTGTGCTAATATTATTTATGTGATTTTAATTAATGTTTTTAATGCTGGACTTCAACTTGTGGTATTGCTACTTGTACTTGAGTAAAGGATCTGAAAATTTGCTGATCAGTGGTTTCTATTCATCCTCTAGACTATCAAAAGCATCGGAGATGGACCATCACTGGGTTGCAACATCCTGGCTGAGTGATGTGGGATTGCCTCAATACTCCCAGACCTTCCAGACTCATTTAGTGGATGGGCGAGTGCTGAACTCCCTGAGCCGCAGAGACCTGGAGAGATTCCTCAACATCAGCGACCAGTACCACCAGACAAGTCTACTCCTGGCAATCCAGCTCTTGCAGATGCTCAGTTTTGATAAAGAGGTCAGATTGTGGATCAAAATTGAGATTAGTCTTTTCAGCAGTCTTTTCTCAATTGCTCCTTTACTCGACTACCGGTTTCACTATTATCCACTGTAGCTTGAGGCACACAGCCCTTGGTGCTGCATTATCTCAGCAGGCCCTCATCCTTCCCTGACCTCTCTATGTGCCACTAAGTGCTTGTACAGTTATGTGTGTGTTGTGTTTTCGCAGGCCCTGCAGGCACGGCGGGCAAAGTGTGAGCAACAAGACTGGGATCCCATTGTTTGGACATGTCACAGAGTAATGAAGTGGATCAGAGACATAGACCTCAAGGTGGGTGGGAGGTCAGTGATGGTATTCCCCTTTGCTCAGGAGATTTCTAGAGCACATTGCAACCACATACCTCCTATTAGTTTCTAGGACTCCCTCAAAATGAATGATAGCTATCCTGCCTCACCACTGCTGAGAGAATTTAGAAAAAAAAATACTGGCGTGTAAGTGTTTTTTTTCTGGATGCACAGTAGGTAATACTTTACCAGCCTTCAGTTTTCAGTATGGCTTGCCTTTGGTCAACATGTAGCTCTAGAAGCTAAAACAGAATTTCTGTCCCCCTTAGATAAACAACAATTTATTTTAGTGCTTTTAAAGGCCTGGCCACGTTAATTAGACTTTTGTCCTAATTTGGCACCTTTGGCAGGACTTTTAGATAAAGTCTGAAGTAATTACAATTAGGATACTTTCCTGTATTCAGCTGCCATTATGTGGAATGAGCTACCGGTGAGCATTATGAAGTCCTCACTAAAAAATGGCTGAGTGGCCGATTGACCTCACAATAACAAGTATAAAATAAAATAGCATTTGCATTATTGTATAGTAACATTGTGACAGAAATAGTATTGTATGTATATATGAATGTGTAAGGACTAATATTATTGTATATTGTATTGTTACTGAATTAAATTTTTTAAGAGATACGATGTATAATTGGATGCTGCTAATAACTAACTAGTTGCCTTATCATGATGCTTCTACCCATTTGCCTTCCTAATAAGGACCACAATGCAAATAAGCCATCTGGCTTTATTGTGTTTTTGTCCTTTTGATGGTATCTGTAGCTGGGGCATCTATTACTGGAGGCGCCACTTAAATTTACAATTAATAAAGAAGTTTAATCAATCAATCAATTGTGCCTATGTGTTGTGATCGTCAGGAGTATGCAGACAATCTTCAGGGTAAAGGAATTCATGGAGCTATGATGGCTCTGGACCCATCCTTTGACACAGATGCCATGGCCAAAGCCCTGGGGATACCCAGCAACAAACACATGCTGCATCGGCACCTGTATGAAGAGATGAAATCTCTCGCTGTCCCTCACAGGTAGATTAAAAACCCTTCGACAATTGTTGCATACTTTCTTATTCTGCCCTGTTCTAAAAGCAACAAGGGATTTTGCTCTAAGACATACTTTATGTCTTAAAGTATGGCCATGTTATCGTGACTCCTGTGAAAATAGATGTGATTAACTGAGAGCTAGACTTTACAATCATGCACATAAATGAATAAGTCTTATAATTCCTTGTATTCACAGCAGTGCAGAGCAGGGCAATGAGGTTATCGGTTCCTCTTCACCTGTGGCTGTTAACCGCTTTGCTGAGGAGAGGGTGTCTATGAGAAGATCAGCCAAGGTATAATTCATTTCACACTCATATCATATTATTGGAATATATCGTGTTTAGTCAAAAAATATATTTACACAAAGTTTCAGTGACAGTCAGTTTCCCAGCGCTGTGCAGCGGTTGGCTAGTTGCAGACATTATGATTTTATCCCACATACCAGACTTAGCAGTTGTTGTAATTGTTAAACTTTTTTGTTTACATATATTTATACATACATCTTCCTGGGAGTTCTCCTTACATGTCAAACCCTAGTTTGATTCTGGCTGGGTACCTTTGTTGCATACCCATCTCTTCCCCTACATTTCTTGTCTTTCTTTACTTAGCCACCTGTCAAATAAAGTATAAAATTACAAAATACATACAATTATACACAGGACAATATATATGTTTCTTCACATTTGTGTTGCTTTTCTTGTTGTAACTTGTGTAATTCTCACACTACACACATGAAAGCTAGCCACCTATTATTCTACATAACAAAACCATTCAAAACTTGTAGTTGTGAAGTTGTAATACAATTGCACTGTTCTACAACTGAATTAAAGAGAAGAGAGAGGGAATGTTGCTTCCTTAATGTGATGTATTTCTTTGAGATGCTGAGGTGGGACATGGGGGACACAGGGAGCGATCATTTTAAAGTATTAAATGGCATGTTGCGTATGGGAGACAAAGTTTATTTGGTGGAAGGTTTAGAAGGGCGACAATGGAGGCTCCCTGGTAGCCTAAAGGTTAAGACACGTACTACATAACTGCAACATCCACAGTTCAAGTCCTGGCCGTGAGACCTTTGTTGAATGTCTTACCCTGCTCTCTCTCTCTCCACCTATTTTTCCTGTCCCTCTCTACTGGCTTTCAAAGGCAAAAAATGCCCAAAAAATAATGGAATTGAAAAAAGAAGGCTGACGTTGTTCAGAAATCTGTTTAATTGGTTGTTGTTGCAGCATGATATTACAATTTGGATATAAAAATAAGTCATGAAATAGATGTACGTTGAAAAACGTTTAAATGGTGTCACTCAAAAATACTTTATTTATCTAGAGGAAAATGCAACTGAAACTGTATTCGTTCATCTAGTGAGTAGACTTTTGCATTTACACTGCAATTGACTTTAATGTCAGCTAATAATATTTGACTTTTTTGAGAAAGGCCAATGTCTTATTTTGGATTCAAAGTTTAAAAAACCCACCACATTCATTTTAATGCCTGTTCATTTTTCCAGAGTCCGCTGAGGTTACGTGCGAACAGCCACTCTGTGGAGCGATCTCTGGGCTTCCACGGCAGCTGTGGCTCTCTACCGAGAGAGGCCAGAGTTCAGGCTGTTCCCAGGGCCAAAGGCAGCCCGATGCACACCTACAAGAGTGTTGAAATCACCAATGTCTGAACAAGCCTCAGCCATCAACATCACTCACGTTGTTACAATTGTTTACATTGTTTTTGTATTATAGTTGTTCACTATTGACAGTGACCTACACTCAGCATTGCTGACCTTTTACGATGAGATTGTCTTAAAGGGTTGTAACACTTCAATGAATAATTCAAACATATTATTATTTTGGGCAAATTAATAATAACATATATTCTGAACAGAGACCTGATGGAGCTGGTCATTTTTTTTCCAACTACATTTCCAAATGAGTTTTATATCATGAGTTTAGAGAAGGCTTAAGAGTAGCCTACAAAAATAACTGAACACAATGTTCTCCTTTGATGCCTTATATGAAATAGGTCTCACACTACTGTTGTTTACTGCTCCTCTCTTTTCAACTATTTCTAACGTGTCAGTTAACTTTTTTCATTGTTGCACATGTAAGTAAATTAATAATTGTGCTTGTGGAAAAAAGTCAATATAATGTGTTTTCACTGTAGAGATACATATTCACTGTTAAGGACCTGAACTGTGACATGTCAGCAGCTCTACATACCTGAGTGAGACATTGTTTGTGTTGGTCCTCAAGCTACTCTGGTCCTCTATTGGTCCATGCAAGTTCCCCATCACAATTAATATCATCACTAGAAAAGATAGTAGATCTTAGATTAAAACAACATTAAAAGATGTGAAATCTGGACACGTGGGGGAGCTAATGTCACCACAATGGCCAAGAGGTGCAACCGTTATGACTGCACACAAGACAATCTTTAACATGGGTTCTGTACTTTTGAAAACTGGTAAAATCCATATACTCATTAGTGTTAAATAATAGAATAATTTAATTAGTGAAATTTTGTTTTGTTGTTTTGATTTACATTTGACTGCAAATGTTGAAAACATTCATTATATGTGGGTGATATGTATATTAAACATACAGTTGAATGTTGGGTTTTGAAAGTGATAATGTGTCAAATTAAAGAAAATTGCCTCCACATACATTATACTGTATAAGCACTGAAAAAATAATGTTACTTGATTATGAACTCAATGGAGAGAATGTAATGGTATATTTTGTACAGTTTAATCATGTTTTATAACATACATTTCTATAAAGGTTTCTGTTCCTGAGCATGAAAACACACATATGAAATGTCACCACACTGTGTTCAGTTAAAAGCCTAAGGTTATTCCAAATAATAGAAACGCCACTTTCTGGGCGTCACCAAAGGCAAAGTTGTTTAAGCGGGAAGATTAGATCAGTTCAAACCTGTCAGATGGGAAAGACTTGAATGGTGTTTGTGTTAATATGACATTTACTCTCTCTCTCTTTATCCAGCTGTCAGAGTTTTTCATGTACGCCAACATTAAAGATGAAAATGCTGTCAACTGCTATATACACAGCGCAAGCGTGTTATTGTTATTTTTCAAGACAAAAGCATCAAAACCTCTGTTAACACATTAACCAGGGATGAAAAAATATTATCCGCTGAGACTTAAGTTATTATCTATGAAGATTTTGGAGAGATATATGTATGTTTGTATGTTATGTTTAAGTGCAGAGTGGTGTGCAGCTGTATGCACATATTTCCAAAATATATATGAATACATTTCACATTAGCTTGTTTTGGAATTGAATAATGCATCAGAATTTATGTTAGCGTTTGGCCTTAGTTTAAATGATTTTTCTTTTTAAATGAAAATTTTATTTAAGCTTTACCAAAGTCTCCTCCACTGGCTTCTGATCAGAGCAGGTGGTGGTTAGGGGGCCTTGAGAGAATGTTGCTTTTTCACAAGATTTATCTTGCACATCGGAGATCGAACCAGTAATCGTTTCTCTAACCTTTAGGCTACCACTGTCCCTATATAGTGAGGCCTGATATTAGATAAATTACATATTATCATGTCAGGTTACACACACTCTCACTGATCAAAGTTAATTCTTAACTTAGGAACAGCAGTTGGCAAAATCATTCTCACCACAAAGTCCACCCAGAGCCTTTAATTGTTTCACACAATCTTCCTCAGCAAATGGAGTTTGCCCAGTTGTGATGAAAATGTATGTTCACATTTCTATTTTTCTAAACACTTTAAAGACTAAAAAGTGAAAGTGGGAAAAAACTGAACTGCGAATTTGAACATCTACATCTTTGTAACTACTGGGCAACTTCATCTGATGAGGAAGACAGTGGTCTGGCACAGCTACCAAGTGGACTTTGTAGTGAGATTATTTTTGTCAGCTCTATCTTTGTTTGTGATGCTATAATGTGCTACTGTAACTGAATTTGAGTTGAATACTTGGACCACAGTAAGTCCCAACAATTGGTTTCCTACACAATCCAGGAAAGAACAAAGGGGATTACCTTATTTTCAAATAAATGATATTTTAACAATAACCTTTAAACCTGGAGTGATTAGTCAATGTAAAGAAAATGAATCAGCCACTATTCTGATAATTGATAGTTTAAGTCAAATGTGACCTATTTCTAGCTTCTCAATTGTGAGGATGTGCTGATTTTCTTTGACTTATATGTCTACTATGTAAACTAATATCTTTGGGTTTTAGACTGTTTGAAGATGTACCCTTGGGCTCTGGAATATTTTTAAAGACATTTTTCACTGTTTTCTGACAATTTGTAGACAAAAAAACCTGATGGGAACCTCTGCGTCTGAAACAAATGCAAAAGTGCCTTAAACCTGCATTCTTTCTAATAACCAGCAGGGGGCAACTCTCCTGGTTGCAAAAAGAAGCTGACTGTGTAGAAGTCTATGACAAAATGACCCTACTTCTCACTTGATTTATAACCTCAGTAAACAATTTCTTAATGAGTTTATAGTCTCAATTAGTTTTAAGTCTTCAATGCAGCATGTTCATTTTGTAAATGATGGTCCCATTTAGAGTAAAATAGATGATAAAGCAGGGGACGCTTTAGGACATGACTACCTTGTGATTAACAAGTCGCTACCACAGCAAACCTGTCAGGCATAGCAGTGCGCATACCTCCATAGCTCCACTATCTCATCTGAATATGGTCACTTCTGGTTCCAAAAAACCAAGACAGCCAAAATGCCAAATACAAATCTCGCGAGAGTATCGCAAATGTAGCCACAAGTTTGTCTACTAATTTGAACCCATAGAAGGCATACCCGTGCGGCGCTAGGACCAAGAGGAAATCAGGTCATAGACACACTTTACAACCAGGACACAAGAGGTTTCACTACGGCTGGAATTTGCACAAAGTTCTTGTGAACAATATTGTCATGTGTAGCGTTAAACAGTGTCGGGGAAAAAACACGCTTTGTGATTTTATCTTCAGTTGAACGAGGTATCGGGTGTTGCGTCTGTTGTCTTCTTCCTCTTTTTTCCCTGTGATCTTCCTGAAAACACCTGCGTGATTCAGGTAACTCACCGATGAAGAGGGAAGTCCCTGGGCATTGAGCGGTGAAAAGGTAAGGCCTCTTCAAGATCACCTTCACCACGAAGGTCTAAGACCAGTTCAATTTAACCAGAACTCGTAGATGGGTTGTAGCCTACGTTTCCCTTTATGAGGTGTTTGTGTCCGGATAAAATTCAGTGTGTGACTACTGTGAGTGGACAAGTCCTCCCTCTGAGGTCCCTTCCTACTTTACAAACAATGAAATCACTGGCTGAAGGACGGACACCCGTTTTAACCACTTTCCTGCACCAGTAACGTTCCACGTGGTTTATTAATGTCACTCATATAGTAACCTGATAGAAGTAGTAATTAGGTCTGTGATTATAACAAGAGAAAATGCTTTTTTTTAATGCTAGAAGTGTGCTTGTGTTAAACAAGACACACCCACGACGCCCAGCAGGCCTGCAACATACAGAAAAGCTCAAAAGTTCTGTGATGATGCAAAAGAAGAAAAGCAGCCATTTGAAATGACACAGAAGGTCAAACGGACATAGGCACCGACCACCACACTGTTATACCAAACTGTCACTATATTTTGGCGTTGATAATGATGGTAAAGTAGTCTACATGTGGTTCTATAGACATATATTACAAATATTGGCCACTGAGGAGGAAAACATGCACCTACTGTAAGTGGCAGGGTAATTTTGCAACACAGAGAAATCCGTTGGATGCTGTATTACATCTGAGATCAAACTACATGTACCAAAGTATGGACGCACTGACAAATATTTTCTCTCCTCATACTGGTTCCGGTATGTCATTTAAAGGAATAGTATATATGTCATTGCTCGCTTTTTCACACACAAAATAATAACAATAATAATAAAAAATTTGTGGGCACCTTTCATAGCACTCAAGGATACCTTACAGATTATAACAGTTAAAATACATTTCAAGGAGGCAATACAATAAAAAATCAAAACATGACACAGTTTAAAGATTAAGATAAAATAGAAGAGAGAAACATTTTTTTAAAATGCAGTTCATCATGAAGCTGGTGGAAGGTGAAATTATGTGGGGTAGGCCTTTTGAAATAAGTGGGTTTTGAGCAAAGTTTTAAAGGAAGATAGGGACTCTGTTGTACGAATGAATAGAGGGAGGGAGTTCCAAAGGTGTATCATTGGAATAATTTTTATGTAACCAGAGGTCAGGCACTAAAAACTGTCAGTGGCCTATGACTTAATAAATGTCACTGACAAAAAAACAGTTTTGACTGTGGATCCGTCATGTCAGAGCTGATATTTGATCCATTTAATAAAGTCTACTGAGCTAGAGTATTGAATCGGTGCAGAGTTTTACAGAGAGATACTTTATTTTACTTTTTTAAGACTCACAGAATGTGTGTGTTAGGGCTGAAATCAACATCTAAATATGAATAAGAATATTTTCACCAATATTAATATAACACAATATGGCACATATATTGTGCAAAGTAACCTTTAACTTTATCGGTTTCAATGTGATATTCTGTATTCCACTGGTACACATTATGTAACCCTATTTTCTTGATGGGATAGCATTCCAGTCACTCTTGGGTGTGGGTAATAAGCAGACTGGTTTCTACAAGACAGTAAAACATCCATCTTCACTTTCTCAGGCGTCATGTCTGTCTTTTCACATGTAAACCATCAACAGCACAATGGAGCTAAAATTAATTAAAGCCAGGGGACATGAAAAAGCAACCTATGTAAATTTTACACACAAACAATAATAATAATAATCTTTATTTGTAGAGCACTTTTCAAAAACAAGTTGCAAAGTGCTTTAACAAGTGTAAAGACAATAATACCTAAAAAACAATAGAATAAAATAAAAGGGATAAAATAAAATGAAATAAGATCGGGAAAGGCTCTCCTATAAAAGTATGTTTTAAGAAGGGACTTAAGAGTTCACTGACTCAGCCGACCTGATTTCCTCGGGCAGGCTGTTCCAGAGCCTCGGGGCCCTGACATCAAACGCTCTGTCCCCTTTAGTTTTCAGTCGAGACTCAGAAATATAACAAGTCGAGAGGCCATGAAGAGCTTTAAAAGTGATCAATAGAATTTTAAAGTCAATTCTAAAACATACTGGGAGCCAGTGTAGTGAAGCTAAAATAGGAGTAATGTGGTCATATTTCTTTGTTCTGGTTAAAAGCCTGGCAGCTGAGTTCTGGACAGTCTGGAGTCGATCAATAGATTTTTGGGTTAAACAGGTGAAAAGGCTGTTGCAATAATCCAGGCGTGATGAGATGAAGGTGTGTAAAATGGTCTCGGTGTCCTTAAAAGTTAACATAGATCGAATTTTTGCTATATTTCTAAGTTGATAAAAACATAATATTAGTGCTACAAATGAAAATGAAATGTTTAGGATTTGAGCAATAACAATAATAAACCCAAATATCTGAAGTAGTCCAAATTGCTTTAGTGGAATTATTTCTACAAAAACTATATAATTTATCACGGTCTATTGTTCACACTCAAAGAATTAAAGACAACTACAACATAATGTGTGCACTTAAGTTACAATTACAGACAAAACTTTCCACCTGTAAAACAGGTAAAAAAGTCCTTAATCATAATCTCAACTCAAGGTCTACTTACCATTTTTTTCTGGAGCTTTTGACCGTATCACACGGCCCTTATCAGCAGATTGAGTTTTCTAATTGAACGTTGCACGATTCTGTTGTTGAAATTGTTTGATCGACCCCAATGACTCATATTTGTAGCTTTCACTTACGTTTTCACGTTTGTTTGAAATCGGTAATTTGAACAACACAATTTTCTAAAACAATAACATGATATGATCGTATTGATATGATTCCACTGAAAGCTGATGGACAATAATTATCGCATATGGCACTGCTGTATTTATTCAGTGAATTTAATGTTGTTTTTTTTAAGGAGTTTTATGCGCAGCTGAGATTTAACAGTGTACACCAAACTGCTTAGTCTCCTAATTTTAATCACAGACAGCAAATAGATATCAAACCTTTTTAAGTTACGATATATTGAACATTTGTTATATTGTTATGGAGGATAATTACCATTATTGATTTATAGTCCAGCCCTATGTAGCTCTTGTTTCAACACTGTTCATCTGTGTGTCTGTCCTATCCTGACAATAGATCCGCTTGATAATGACAGATGCAAGAGGTTTTAACTGATTTACCAACTTGAATGGATGACCTATACACGGTGAAATTAACTAATTGTTTGTTTGGGACAGTTATTTTGGATTTAAGTTACAATGGTATGCTACATTTTAAACTCTCTAGGCCAGAGGTTTTAAAAACAACAACAAAAAAAAAAGATTCTGCTAACATGTTCATATTGGCAGTGGTGGCCTAAAGTTTAGAGGAGCAAACTTGTGACCAGCAGAATAAAACGGTGGGGAAAGCACCATTACTTGTATGTACACTGCTCAAAAACATAAAGGGAAAACTAAAATAACACATCCTAGATCTGAATGAATGAAATAATCTCATTAAATACTCCTTTCTTTACATAGTTGAATGTGCTGACAACAAAATCACACAAATTATCAATGGAAATCAAATTGATCAACCCATGGAGGTCTGGATTTGGAGTCGCACTAAAAATCAAAGTGGAAAACCACACTACAGGCCGATCCAACAATGTCCTTAAAACAAGTCAAAATGAGGCTCAGTAGTGTGTGTGGCCTCCACGTGCCTGTATGACCTCGCTACAACGCCTGGGCGTGCTCCTGATGAGGTGGCGGATGGTCTCCTGAGGGATCTCCTCCCAGACCTGGACTAAAGCATCCGCCAACTCCTGGACAGTCTGTGGTGCAACGTGGCGTTGGTGGATGGAGTGAGACATGATGTCCCAGATGTGCTCAATTGGATTCAGTTCTGGGGAACGGGCGGGTCAGTCCATAGCATTAATGCCTTCCTCTTGCAGGAACTGCTGACACACTCCAGCCACATGAGGTCTAGCATTTACTTGCATTAGGAGGAACCCAGGGCCAACCGCACCAGCATATGGTCTCACAAGGGGTCTGAGGATCTCATCTCGGTACCTAATGGCAGTCAGACTACCTCTTGCGAGCACATGGAGGGCTGTGCGGCCCCCCAAAGAAATGCCACCCCACACCATTACTGACCCACGGCCAAGCCGGTCATGCTGGAGGATGTTGCAGGCAGCAGAACGTTCTCCACAGCGTCTCCAGACTCTGTCACGCCTGTCACATGTGCTCAGTGTGAACCTGCTTTCATCTGTGAAGAGCACAGGGCGCCAGTGGCGAATTTTCCAATCTTGGTGTTCTCTGGCAAATGCCAAAGTCCTGCACGGTGTTGGGCTGTAAGCACAACCCCCACCTGTGGACGTCGGGCCCTCATACCACCCTCATGGAGTCTGTTTCTGACCATTTGAGCAGACACATGCACATTTGTGGCCTGCTGGAGGTCATTTTGCAGGGCTCCGGCAGTGCTCTTCCTGCTCCTCCTTGCACAAAGGCGGAGGTAGCGGTCCTGCTGCTGGGTTGTTGCCCTCCTACAGCCTCCTCCACGTCTCCTGATGTACTGGCCTGTCTCCTGGTCGCTCCTCCATGCTCTGGACACTACGCTGACAGACACAGCAAACCTTCTTACCACAGCTCGCATTGATGTGCCATCCTGGATGAGCTGCACTACCTGAGCCACTTGTGTGGGTTGTAGACTCCGTCTCATGCTACCACTAGAGTGAAAGCACCACCAGCATTCAAAAGTGACCAAAATACCAGCCAGGAAGCACAGGAACTGAGAAGTGGTCTGTGGTCACCACCTGCAGAACCACTCCTTTATTGGGGGTGTCTTGCTAATTGCCTATAATTTCCACCTGTTGTCTATTCCATTTGCACAACAGCATGTGAAATTGTCAATCAGTATTGCTTCTTAAGTGGACAGTTTGATTTCACAGGAGTGTGATTGACCTTGGAGTTGTTTAAGTGTTCCCTTCATTTTTTTGAGCAGTGTATTTTTCAGACTATTCCTGTTGTAATTAACAGGATATCTAGCTGTCAGGCCAGGTTTTATTTTACATGCCCAGAATCTGGAGCTTTTTTAATCTATTGGCCACTTCTAAGACCAGCACTAGTTTTATTCAAGACTTTTCTGATCATCTTTCAT